GTCGTGGGCGACGTCGCCCACGACGTAGTTCTTTTTTTACGCGCCACGCGATGGCAATTATAGGACACCATAGGTAAGCGCCAGAACACCTTAAGTAAAAAATTCTGTCAAATTTAGTTGATGCTTGATGTTGTGAAAACGGTGTTGTTTTAAAGGATCAAAACACTGGTTTTCTACAAAATGTAAAATGTCTCCACTCAGGACACGAAATATGACTTTTGTACCAGAGGGTTGACATGTGAACCAGCGGGTTTAGTGAGTGAGTTTAGTTCACTCAGTTCATTAGTAATGAGTTATTCAATTTCTTACATAAACGTGCAAGCTATAAGAATGTTGGAATTGACAGTTTTCATCATCATTTCCACAAATTCAGTTATGGAAAATGCACAATAGGTTTCTTTATACTTCTCGTGGTGGAACATACATATATGTAAATGGTTATATGTTTATTGTGAACAAGAAGAAAAGGGGAAAATGGATCTCGTGGAGATGCATTCAGAACGACTGCATATCAGTCTTAACAGTGAACGACATAATTTCCCAAGTACCTGGAGACCACAACCACGGACCTGTACACAGCGAAGTCAAAGTGAATCTTTCGATTGTACCAAAAATACTGACGGCCCCCCGCACAAACAACAACCTCCGGGGTTGCAATTGGCATGGCCGTCTCATGAAGGTTGTGGTAAAACAACATCCCACCCCTATTCGAGATGGCCAAGTTCCTGGAAGATGAACAAGGACTGAACGAGGCAAAGATGCTTCAGTACAATGCCGGCCAAAGACTGTCCCCAAATAGAAGTACAGAGATTTGGAGGAACGACTAGATACCTTGAAGTTCAGGCTTGCAAATAACCACCCGACATTGATGGAGTACCTGGACAATGACAGATAGACAGACAGACAGTCACACAGGCTTTATTCAGTAGTTAAGGCCCAGTGGCCCAGTGTACAATTGAAGTTACTCAATTACAACTATTGGTCACGTGACATTAAATTTTGATTTTACATGTGATTTACGGATGGACATCAAATGTTTCATGAAAATGGCAACAGATTTAATAATATCAGCATTATTAGAATTAAGTACATTGAATATCGTTTGTGGTGCATCATTAGTGCATTTTAAATACTTCTTTCGGCAGGCAGAGAAAGTCTTACAGACTAATAATAAGTGTCGTTCGTCTCCAGTTTTACCAGAAGAACAATAAGAACATGATAAATCTTCCAATATACTGTATTATTATCTTTTCTAAAACGTTGTATTTTTAAGGCATGAAGAGAGATTTTAAATTTACAAAAAAATTCTTAAAAGGGACTTATCATTAAGAACACTGACATATTTTGCAGGTCCGAACATCGATTTACATTGTGAATAATGACTAAGAAAACTCGATGAATTGACTGATGCGTACCAACTCTGAATATATATCTTTTATTCGTTGTTTAAATGTTGACAAAACATTTTTATATCACCAACATTTTGCTTAAATCAAACATGAGAAAACTCGCTTGAAAATAACATATTTCTCACATCTGAATCCCATGAATACTTTCCACATTTATCCAGTGATAACAATATTTGACAGCTTTGATAGGGGTAGCGATAATCAGGCATTCTTATAAGTTTAATCCAGTATCTAATAACTCTCATTTGACTCTCAATATGCATGTTATAGCATCCTGTTTCGCCAAGTATGGCTTTATTGGAAGCAAATATACCTTCTGTAAGAAATCTTTAAAATAAGATGCATGGACATTTTCAATGGCTTCGAAATAATTTGCTCCCCATGTTATATGGGAAATTATGACATGATTATATATGTTAAAAGAAATATACTAAATCACAACCTTTTGTAATATGTTATAAAGGATCAAAGAAAGTATACATTTACACAAACACACATTCTTATGTGTTTTCATTGTATTCTAAACCGTAAACAACACCAGCCCAAATCCGATAGCCAGCGTATGCATATGCTTAAATTTGCTAGTACACATGAAAGGCAAAATGGTATTATATCTACTAGTACCTAAATACTTCTTTATAGAGTCTCAAAGCGTAGTATTTTAAGCAAACACGTTGCTCGAAGTGCAGCCTTCATTTCTATATATTCTGAACAAACACACTGTGTCACAAGCGTTCGGTCCGGCTTGGCTCGAGTCGTCTAAAGCACCTAACACCTCAAAGGTGTATCTTTAATTGTGCTTAAATCCATAGATTAGTATTATACCTACCTACATATCACATTGAAATGTTACAAAATGCCACATGTAAAGGTAACTGCTCCGTTAAAATTGAAGCCCTTGTCTGCCAACCCTCAAAATAGCCTCAATCAAAAGTGTTCAGTCTGTTCGGCCCGACTTGGCCCGGGCTGTCAAAGCAACAACAAACCTCACACATGTATCTTGAAATGTGTTTAAATCCATAGATCAGTATTATATCTACCTAAATGCCACATTGTGATGTTACAAAGAAAACTGGGTCTATAAAGTGGTATTTAGATAGATATAACTATATTCATTGGATGTAAACAGAATCTAGGATTCATCTGTGAGACTTCAAGATACATGTGCGAGGTTTAAGTTGCTTTTGACAGCTCCGGCCAAGTAAATAACCAAACTTAACACTTTTGATTGAGGCTATGTTGAAAATAGAGAGTGAGTGAGTGAGTGAGTTTAGTTTTACGCCGCACTCAGCAATATTCCAGCTATATGGCGGCGGTCTGTAAATAATCGAGTATGAACCAGACAATCCAGTGATCAACAGCATGAACATCGATCTGCGCATTTCGGAACCGATGACATATGTCAACCAAGTCAGCGAGTCTGACCACCCGCTCCCGTTACGACAAGCATGGGTTACTGAAGGCACTTTCTAATCCGGACCTTTACGGGTGAAAATGGAGAGAAAGGGGCTGGAAAAGTGATATATAGGTAGATGTAATACTAATCTGTGAATTAAAACGCAATTCAAGATACATGTGTGAGGTTTAAGCTGCTTTTGACGGCCCGAGGTATGCCGGACCGAACAATAGTGGCGGTGATTATGTTTAGAGTGTGGGGAAGAGATCGTTTCATTTGCAGATGGGTATGCCTTACATACAATGAACAGTGGCCTTCTAGGGTGGTATTTGATTGGATATAGGTGTAAAAACATTTTCGGGTCGACAGAAATGTTTATCGGGAGTGACTGAAGCATTTTTGCGTTTTAAATCCTGTTTCGTTTAACGATTCTTCTTTTAGACGTAACCTTGGTCAGCCACGTTCAGAGGCCGATAACCACTCGATATAGTCCGACGTCGCCTGCGACGTCGACCACGACGTCGCTCACGACGTCGCCCACGACGTCGCCCGTTATTTTTGTAGCCAAAATATATTTTACAAAGCGCGACGTCGTCTTTTTTATGCGACGTCGTGGGCGACGTCGCCCACGACGTACTTCTTTTTTTACGCGCCACGCGATGGCAATTATAGGACACCATAGTAAACAGCATGGGGATACATAACGAAACATACCACTTATGTGATAACAACTCCCTGTTTATTGCATGCTGGGTATTGTGAGAGTGTACACATGTCGACGAAGCTCCCGAGATGGGTATTAGTCTAGAACAATCCCGAATGAAAATAGGGACCTTCTGTCACCCCCACAAGTCAAGATCGACTGTGCATGGCATATCAATCGGAAAAAAGTTTCGATGACTTTGAGACTAGTTTTGATCATGTCTTTGTTGCTTACCGAGTGTGGTGACGTGGGGACTAACCCCGGCCCCAAGTCTAACAGGCAGTCGACGCTCTCGCTAGAAGATACCGGTGCTGTAGGTATTAGTAAGGCCAAATACACTAACGATGATTTAACGATTGCTATAATGGACTTGAAATCTGACCTAAAGACCATTAATGATCATGTAGCAACATTGGATACGAAAGTTGACAAAATGGCGGCACAGGCAAGCGAGCAGAGGGAAGAAATTACCCAGCTCCGTTCTGATAATAAACTCATGTGTGACCAGATAAAGCAGCTAAATGATAGACTTGATGATTATGAGTCCCGTTCAAGGAGAAATAACTTGCTATTGAAGAAGAGAAGGGCAAGACTTGGGACAAATCTGAAAATAAAGTCAGGGCTTTTATCAGAGACAATCTGGATATAGCTGAAGCGGACGATATTCTTATCACAATAGCCCATCGTCTACGGAATGGACAACAATATCAACCGATCATCGTCAACTTTGTCCTCACAAGTGACAAGAATAATATTCTGTCTACATCCAGAAGGAAACTACGAGACTGGGAAACCCCGAGACGTGTTACAGAGGATCTCACACAGCGTGCACGAGAAGCTCGCCGATCGCTTGCACCATTGTATTCAGATGCTCTCAAAGCGGGATAGAAACCAAAGATCCGACATGATAAGTTACTCGTCGATGGGAAAGTGTTCATTCATGACAGAGAAAATAATAAGAATGTGTGTATCTCGGGTGGAAACCAACGATCTCATAATTCAAACGGAGCACACACTAAAACAGAAAGCCACGCCTCTTTGTTTACATCTGACAACGGAAGTGAAGGGGAGAGCACTCCAAGTAGAATCACGCGATCAACAACTTACCGAGACAAATGAGGATTAGGCCATGGCTCGTGTAGTATCCTTAGTTGGAATATCGAAGGATTATACAAACACGTGAGTTCTACGCTTAGTGACTTTAAACAATTCTGCTCTAGATATGACATAATTGGACTTTGTGAGACCTTTGCTAGAGATCCGAAGGATTTTGAGACATTACTGTCCGGTTTTCGTTCATACCATTATAGTAGACCAAAGCAAAAGTTGATGGGTCGATACAGTGGTGGTGTCTCTGTGTTCATTAAACAAGAACTTGTAGACTATATTAGAAGAACGTTTGCTCATTTTGAGGATTGTGTGGTCATACTGTTTGAAACATCTAAGCTTGGACTTGATAAAGACACTGGGATGATGTTTGTTTATATCTCACCTGAAACTTCCCCCATATATGCTGATAAGGACATGGAAGGAATCCAACGTCTGGAAGAGTATATTGTGACAATTAGCAAAACATATAACCAACACCATATATTAGTGGGAGGGGATTTTAATGCTAGAATGGGTAACTTTTTAGATTTTATTTCCAGTGACAAGTTGCAATATATTCACGATAACAGTGAGGATTACCCGTCTGATACTTTTAACATTCCAAGAAATACAAAGGATAACACAAGATACAACAAATATGGTGTTTCACTTGCAGATTTATGTTGTACCCATGGTCTCCATGCACTAAATGGGAGACTATTTGATGATAAACTAGGTAACTTCACTTGTATAACCCATAACGGTGCCAGTGTGGTTGACTATTTCATTTCAAGCACTGACTTATTTCCACACTTTAGCTCTTTCGGTGTGCTTGAGAGGGATGAGTCCAATCATTTCCCCTTACATTGTGCTATTGTCTTTACTCTGGTGCCAGATCAACCAGCTCCATCAGATAATCAGTCAAATGACACAGAGCAAATGGACCAGGAGAGTTGGACCAAATGTTACTGGTCAGAGGATACTAGTAATATATTTATGCTTCATTTCCAGGAGTTATTTTTAGAATATTGTGATGATATTTTTAAGCAGATAGAGGAAAATGTTGAACAGAGTGTGGAATCTATAACATATCTTTATCAAAGAGCAGCAGATCAGTTCAAGAAAACTTATAGAAACCCAGGTACTGGTTCAATGAATATACATCAACCACCTTGGTGGGATAATGAGTTGGAGGCGTTGAAGCACAAGAAATACTCAGCCCTAAGGTCTCATAGGGCTGTTGGAGGTAGTATTGATACCTACATATATTATAAGAGGCATTTTAAACTCACATTCCACTTAAAGAAAGAAAATTATTTTCAAATTCAAAGAAAAAGACTCAGTGAATCAAGGAATGATCCAAAACAATTTTGGAAAGTGTTAAAATCTTGTAAAATGAATCTTTCAGCTACTCCGGGCATATCTGTAGATACATGGTTTAAGTATTTTAATGAACTTTTAAACTGTGTTTCCATTGATGATAATATTGAAGATGTGTGGAGCAAAGTGGATACCGACACTGATATAGAGGATGAACATTTAGCTGTATTAAATGAACCTTTTTCGGAAGAGGAGGTATTTCTAAGCTTGAAAAATATTAAAAATAATAAATCACCAGGACCGGATGGATTAGTCACAGAGTTCTTTAAAGCTACTAAGAATTACATATCACCTCTATTAACTAAACTCTTTAACAAACTGTATGATAGTTCATTTTTTCCAAAATGTTGGGGGGAAAGCATCATGTGCCCTTTGCATAAATCTGGTGATAAAACAGATCCAAACAATTATAGAGGCATTTCATTGATCAACTGCTTGTGCAAGGTTCTAGCCTCAATTGCTGATAATAGACTGAAACAATGGTGTGACAATAATGATACAATTTCAGAGGCACAAGCTGGATTCAGACATGATTATTCAACAAAAGACCAAATCTTCACCCTTCAAGCTATGGTCACTAAATATCTGTCAAAGCGAAATGGAAGGTTCTATTGCCTTTTTTATTGACTTTTCCAAGGCATTTGACTCTATTAACCACAAATTACTTGTTATGAGTTTGATAGAAACGGGTGTGAAGGGAAAATTCCTTAAATTTATTATCAACATGTATTCTACATTGTGCGCTTGTGTAAGAACTGATTCGGGGTTATCACCCTATTTCAAATGTAATATTGGTACCCGCCAAGGATGCATTCTGAGCCCGCAGATTTTTATTATATTCATAAACAAACTTGCTCAAATGCTGGAGGAAGATGGTGGAAGAGGAGTATTCATATCAACTCATATTCCTGATGTATTTTCGCTGTTATTTGCCGATGATGTATCAACTGTATCCGACACTGCTTTACAGCTCCAAAAGAAAACTAATATTGTTGAAAAATTCTGTGCAGATGCAGGAATGAAAGTTAATCTGAACAAAACAAAAATTATTGTTTTTAGAAATGATGGTCCTCTTCGTTCTTATGAGAAATGTTTTTTAAATGGTGAACAAGTAGAAGTTGTGAATATGTACAAATATCTTGGGATTGTGTTCACCCCTAAATTGTCATGGACTAAAGCCAAATCCTGTTTAGCAGCTCAAGCAAGCAAAGCTATATTCTCCATCTATAATTACCAAAAACATTTTCGATGTATTAATCAAAAGGACATTTTTAAGATATTTGACTCCATGATTACACCTATTCTGTGTTATGGATCAGCGATTTGGGGAACCACTTATTGCAGACATATTGAAACTGTACATTTTAAGTTCTGTAAGACTTTTCTCAAAGTCAGCAAGTATACCAACAATAGCATGGTGCTTGGAGAGTGTGGCAGACTCTCACTGCAATACCACTATACCTCTAGATCAATAATGTACTGGTGCAGACTGTTGCAGCTACAACACCATAGACTTCCTTATCAGGCCTACCATGATAAATAAATAATAAATCTACTTCGGCTTCACATATAAGACAAATCCTTTTCCAGTATGGTTTTGGGTTTGTATGGATCTTACAAGAAATGGGCTGCATTAAAACATTTATATCCATCTTCAAGCAGCGATTTTATGACTGCTTCCTTCAAAATTGGCGTTCCTCACTTGACTCTTCATCTAAATGTAAATATTATTCACAATTTAAATCTTTACTTAATGTCGAACACTACTTTTCATGTGATCTCCTCCCATATCAAAGGAAGGTTATGGCTTTGTTCCGCTGTAACAACTTTAGATTAGCAGTGGAAACCGGCCGCCAAACAAATACACCCTATGATCAACGTCTCTGCCTTTACTGCCACTCTGTTGGTTAAAACTATGTTGAAGATGAGCTCCATGTTCTACTCATCCGTGGTAAATATTCTGAAATAAGAAATAAGTGTTTCACAACCCACCAGACCCACCCTCCAACAATTGAAACTTTTGTGCCTTTAATTACTCGCAACGACATAAATTAACTAAAATCATTAACTACATTCCTCTCCACCGTTTTAAAACTAAGATATAAATCCACTACTACTATCAATTGACCCTGTACTCCAATCGTCATCCTATATCCAGCATGTATGTATTCTTTATAATTGCACTATGTTGTATTATGGGCCAAGGGCCTACATTACTGAAATAAAATGTCTGTCTGTCTGTTTATTGCATAGAACGGCATTTCGATGTACATCGTTTAGGATAAACAAGCTGATTGAATGTTGATTGATTCCATCACCTTGAAAATGGAGTGGATTTTGACCTGTTGATCTTACTCTCCTGTTGGCCCCAACGATGTGCTACTTGCTGAATTACCTGTTGTTAATTTGCTGCTTGTCACTATGCATACATACTTCTATTCACCTGGTTGTAGTAACTTTTATCTTGATAATGCAGTGAGAATATACATGGAAACTCCTCTCTATCGACCTTTGGTCCAAACGGATGAGTTAAGAAAAAAGGTCGACGTCCCGTCCGTTAGCAATTAACATTGGATTATAGAGACAATGAAGGGCCTACGTGTTCATAGAAGAGGATATTCCGGATTATGCGAATGAGAGCACACCTAATGAGAAAACGAGCCAAATATATGTATAAAGATAGTGTTTTATTTCAGTCTCGGTTCACTTAGCATATATACATTGAAATATAAAACACATACAATACATAAAAGGCGTAAGCCACGAGTGGTAACGGAAGACTATATGGACAGATCTTATTTAATAATGGTACAACATGCTACATTTTACATGAATTATAAATAGTTGTATTACATCATATTACGAAATGTTACGAAATATTTCAAAATTTTAAATATACATACAAATTTATAAGTACGTTATAAATATATTAAAGATGTGAAAGGAGAGACGCTGAATCAGCAAACTGTCTAACAGTTAACATTCCATTTTGAAACTGGTGTCTCAGTTCTTGAAGACGACGTTCCAGTTATCGGTATTTCTTCTTCGTTGGTTGTCTTTGGCATTCGGGATATTCAATTCAATTCTTTATTACAGAAGTGTAGGCCATCGGCCCATAACTACATAGGTTTCATTTACATGTCAAAACACTTGCGTGTACAGTATAGATTGATAATTTTTAACATCTTAGATACATTGCATGATAGATAAAGCGAGCTAAGTTATTTATAAGTTTACAATCTGATGATGACATGAGGAGTTTGAATTTGGCTTTACTTGGGTTGGTACAATAGGTTTTAGGTAAATGGTTCAAGCGGAGCTGTTGGAATTTGGAACACACGAGGAGAAGATGGTATTCATCCTCAATATAACCTTCATCGCACTGTAAACATATTGCACCAACGAGGTGTAGGAATAAACTTATGTTCAACTTGACCATTAGCAATTTCGAAATCAAATGTACACTTTCATGCTTCTTCTCATGATATATCCCCATGTAATTAGAGGGGAACTGATCCAGAGTGATTAATGTTTCTCGACAACAGTCTAATTACCAAACCAAACTACAAGCTGGTCGATATCTGCTCCCTCGACCGTGATGGTCACAGGGACTGGGCTTCTGGCCACTTTTGCAAAATTTCTTCAACCCAAACATTGGGACATTGGTAAGGGTGGATGCTCATTAGATGCTGTTATTTGAGAATACCCACCGGTAGTTCCATTCTGATTGCAATAAAGTATCCCAGCAGTGTATGCTTTTCGGATTTTCTAATGCATGGATGGCATAGTGACTGATCCAATTTGATCTTATTTCTGTGTTTTATTTACCTTGATATTTAATCATGCCATATAAACATATGATGTCTATTACATGTTATATTTATGACAAATGAAACTTTACTTAGGTATAAACAATTTTAACTTCAGTACACATCAAATGCTTACATGTTTTTCTTATGCAACAATGAAGTTCCGTTCGTATACTCCAAACAGTGTCGGCCCATAAGTTTTTCCAGGCAATTAACATTGCATGCAATTCAGCGATTACTACTCCCTTTGGTGTAACCAGTGTT